ACTTCACGGTAAGCTACATGTAGACTCTAATCACTAAAACAAAATATTTTGTTTTTTCAGCCATAATTTTGCACAGGTGTAGGTGTAAGTGTTGATACTGTTTTCTACATCACACATTCACACCCACATCCACCCCATACTCACACTCACATCCATCCCACACCCACACTCACATCCACACCACCCCACACTCACTTCCACACCACTCCACACCCACACTACCCCACACTCATACCCACCACCATCCACACCACCCCACACTCACACCCACATTCACGGACATCCACATCACTCCACACCACACCCATACCCAGATGGATACTCTTTATAGCCTCTCGGAAACTTACTGGGAATTCGTAGAAATTCTGAGAACTCTAAGAGAATTTCATGGAATTCTGAGGAATTCTATTGAATCCTACGAAATTCGTGCTACTTTCGTGGGATTCTGAGAAATTTTACGGAATTCGACAGAATCCTAAAAATGTAGGGAATTCTGAATTCCAGAATTCCACTATTGATCCCTTGTATATTTGACTAATAACTTTTATTCTCGTTGATTGGTTTGAAGTTTCTTTTTTAATATCTTATTAATATCCTGAGTCCCACATCCACAACAATTTTCAGTTCTCTAGGTCATACCATCGCCGATTCATGAGACTCATACTGAGAAAAAATTGTATTTTATAGGCAGGTGCACTGAGAAAAAGAAATTCTCTCAGAATCGAGAGAAATGAAAAAAATAATAAAAAATAATCCATTTTGTAGTACTTTAAGTTTTGTGTCGAATCATATACTTTTCCTGTTTCTGTATATCACTTTCCATGCATACTCGTCCGAAACACTATATGACAGAGGACGAATAGAATAGAACCGAATTTTACTGGTTACAGTTTGGTTCAGTTTGTTTTTGGTCTCTAGTATAAAATAATCTATCAAATATCATTTGATCATTTCCGAAAGTATCACAATATTACAAAAATAGGGTGATACCTCGATCAATCATTTTTCTTATGTGTTTCTTTGCATTCCTTCGGTTTTTGAAAAGGCATTCGAGTTCGATTCAGTTGGACATTGTTTTTTAATAGTGGTTCGAGTTCGGTTTGTTTTCGTATAACGTGCTTGCAACGCGAAATTAAAGTGAAATTTTAGTTTTTCTGTTTTTTTATACACATAGTATCATAGAACCGGATCTATTGATCAAGAAAAGTAGCTTTTAATTTTGGTAAATAGCATTTTCAGGTAGGAGAAATAACCTCAAAACTAAGAGGAAGTCGTTTTTTGGTAAAAAAAACAACCATTATTTTCAATTTTTGTGAAATTTTCTGTTCTATGCTTTTGTTCTACTTCTCTATCAACAAAAGTGGATATTCTTTTCTCTCTCAGACGACTGATGATATTCATGCATTGATTGATTTTCGAGAGGACTGCCTAATTCGAGTTCATGCCTGAACATCAATCGCTATTGTTCGCTAAGTTCGTATTTAAAAATGAGCGAAATACTCCATATGTAATACTATTCTCGCAAAATAAGGCAATATTCTGAAGAACTATATCAAGGTGACAGAATTTTTAATGCGTTCCTATTATTGAATATTGATTAAATGAAAAGTTTGATGAATCGAAGTGAATACAAGTGTTCATGTGATTGTTGGTAACTTGTCTCATGTAGAGGATGTCCCATTAACTAATTTGCTAAGAAATTTGCCAAATTCGCTACCCTGTGTCTCAGCAACTTGAAGTTCAAGTTGTGACGGTTGCCGTTCACCTTTTGTACCAGCAAGTGTTCCAGCTCCTATAATAGTAAATTAAAATCGATGATGATAAAATATAGATCAATGAAAGAAATCAACCGTATGGCGATCCACCGTGAATTTCTTCAAGATTCATGAGAGCTTTATTTTTGTATCCAAGAGGAACAAAAGGCATGCCAAGATGAGTAAAAAATGGTATACAAGAAAGAGCAGTTGTCTCTTGGCCACCACCAAGCGTCGCCGTTGAGAAGAAAACGCCAGCCTGAATGAAAATTGATAGAATAGAAAAAAAAATAATGCAGTCATAAAGTCATTTACCGGCTTGCCAATAAGTGCATCAGAAAGCCAGTGGCCACCGCATGCGTCGAAAAATGCCTTGATCTGAGCTGGAATGGTGCCGAAACGTGTTGGAATACCGAAAAGAAAACCATCAGCCTCGGTCATTTGTTCAGGACGAATGATTGGCACATGTTTATTCTTAGGCGGAGCATACATTTTGCTTAAGACATCATCTGGCAATGTCTCAGCTACTTGAAAAACTCGACATTCACAACCGATGCTCTCTACACCAGCCCGAATGCTGGATGACAATTGAGCAACATGACCATACATCGAGTAGTATATTACGAATACTACAGGACGACGCTATTCAATAAACATAACTCAAAGTACTATTCTTCTTTAGTTCTCCACTTACATTCGAACGTCCACTTGGCAGAATTCGTCGTCGCTCATCTTGACGTAGCTCTACACGCTGCGACGGCTGTGCATGTGTTTTACTGTAGGAAGAATACAACATTTTTCAGAGAATATATGAGAGAATTTGCAAAAGTAATTCAATTAATTATATTAGGCGTTAAAGATCTCACTATTAAATAGAAAGTACCTAAGCTTCAATTGTTTTTGTCTTTATTGTCATCCTCAATAAAGTTTGATAGATATTGATCGCAAGCACCAACTCATTCTCGATCAGTTGATGTGTACTAAAGTCATAAGTCGAAAACTATCTTCACCTTGTGATGAACATATCTTCCTCATTTTCGGGTATCCACTCTTTCACGAATCCTCAATCAAAACTTCAATCGTGTAGCTAGTTGTGAACTAAATTTGATGAAAAAGTTACTGAACACTACACAATTTTCGTCTTGGCATTCAAAAATTTTTACCATCAGTAACTTCAATCTTTAGTCTAGCATCGCTAATTTGAACTGGTCTCAACTAATTCAGTTTAGAAGTTTAGTCAGAAGTATAGAATACTAAACTGACATTTGTTTGGCCTCGGTTCCGTATTTAATAGTCTTTCAAAATCAATGGGACAATCATTGTCGGCACTTAATTACTGAGAGAAAACTGTCTAGAAAAGAATGCCATATCCTTTGGACAGTGTCTCAACATGTCACTACGTTTCCGGTGACTTTCTATTATGTGACAATGTTCAGTCAATTGTTAATAAAAAATATATTAATATTCAAATATAGACAATTAATTCATATTTCAAACTAATGTCTTAAATAGAGTTTACGGTACATGAAGCTTTATCAATAAATATTCGAATAGGCGAAGCATCAGTAGTTGAACAAATTTAGAAAGATGATTTTTCAAGAAAATTTAATCACTCTGTGTCACACAAGTGGATTGCCCTTGTTACAGTGATAAAACTATTCACCTATATTAAATCAAACAAGATATCCACTTACTAGACAACATTTAGATCTTTGTTTCGAGTTTAATCCACGTGAAAGAGTGAGAATTCAGATAGTTTACAGTCAAAACAGCGAGACGTTCATCTTTTCTAAAGGATTCAGTTTTTGCTGTTTGATAGTCTAGTCAGTTAAAACACACTTCATAAGTAGAACAAAACTACACATGACACAATGCTCAAATATGATAGTCTTTCGAAATCAATCTTTTCACAATTGGTACCGATTACGTTCTAATCTTGCAGGATCACAACTGAGATCGGAATTAGAAACAAGAACAAGACTTATTTTCTTATTGTCTAGTGGTAAGTTTTAATGGACTTACAGATTAATGTTCCAATTTCTGGAGATGTAGCTCAATATAGATTAGAAATAGATACAAGAGAAAGATTCGTTCTGTCTCAATTTGTCGATTGACAAGATTTTGATATTATGCAGCAAGCTATGATACTAGAGTAATCACAACATGGATGAACGGTTGTATGCGAAATGATGTTTTATTCGAATTTATTGAGAGTTTCAATACCACATAGGTACAGTTTTACTTTTTCATAAGGGTTGGCTACACCTCTATGTTTTAAATCTAAGGAAGTAGGCGCATGAGATAGAACTAAGCGGTGAAAAGAACAAAAATAAATTGAAGTCACTCGAAATGATAAACAAGAGTTTTCAGAGATGACAGTTTTCTCTGATTCATTCAACAAATGACCCCTAATGAATCTACATTCAAACGAATCCGTTATGATGACGAATAAATTCTCAAAACTATTCTAAAAATCTGATAGTAATTCAGGTTATTGGTGACCATTATTTAATTCTTGTGTGCCATTAAGCTGTTCGCAATTTATTGAATGAATAAAAACAATAGCTCGATATCTGAAAATTCATGCTTATAATTATATACTATTTCAACTTATTAATACTACTTGTAGTGATGAATGCAAGTTTATATGCCGAGGACTAAATGTTACTAAAAGAAAACGTTTTTCGTGTAAGGATCAAAATTGTATAGTTTCAAATAACTCTTTTACAAAATTTACTCCTGAAATAGTTATAACATTGGACTTTTCATTGAGGAGTGATATGGAAATGAATGTCAAATAATGAGTGAAATATGGTCATCACAAGATGAAGATTGTATTCAACCCATAACTCTAGTGCATATAAAATGAGTGTAGACGAATCGATGCTAATGATCAGTGTCTATCGAATACTATTTCTGGAGAAAACAGGATCTGAGAAAATTGAAGTTTTGGCACATTGTATTTGATAATATAACCTTTTATACCTAGCACATAAACGGTAAATCTCGCCTATAATATCAAGTCTTACCTTTGTGACGATGTACTTGTAGCCTGTGAGCGTGAAGCAGATGACGACATGCGTATACAGTGTGACGATGCTACTTTTGAACCGTAATCTGCAATAAACAGAGAAAACCATCTCATTAGAATTCTTCAAGCTGAACTAGGACAAGCCATTGACAGATGGCGCCTTTTCTTCTCAAGAATCACTATAATTACGTTAGAACAACATATAGAACTTTCTTCCTTCCTATTAAGTTTATCATTGACACGTTTACAAGTCTAACATATAAATATATGGCAAGACAATAGTTGATATCTATCTACTGTAAAATTTCAAAAATAAGTCTTCTTGACGTTGCCCCTTTAATATTATATACATCTTCAGGTGTGTTGATAAAGCACATAAATGTGACGATAAACGACAATAAGAGAGAGAAAGCTCATGTATTTGCATTCCTATATCAATATTTACTTTCAAGTCTGACATTTTCTTACGTATTACTTTCGTCTTATTATTGTATTTTTCTATGTGCTTTCCCTTTATCTTTAACATTATGCTTTGTCAATGGAAGAAAAAAGAAAGTGACGTGTTTTTGTCGAACTCACATATATTTTCGAAGAAAATAGGAAGTATGAATTTTAACTCAAAGTTATCTACCTTTCTCTCACCCTCTCCCTCTTCTACACTACAGAGCATAACATTTGAGAACAGCAGATATCACACTCCTTTTCCAGAGTTTCTTATTAATAGAAAAATGGCTGAACGACATTGGCAACAAGACTTTGACTGTTCTAGAGCATTTCAAATCTTTTGTTGAAATTTGAATGACTGGCATTAATTTGTAAATGTTTTCAATAGTGAAAATTCTAATTTTTCTGTAGATAAAAATTTATATTCAAGATGTCAAGGATGATGAATATGAACAATAACCTTATTTGCCTGTTAAATCAATGGTTAGAAAAATAATGATAATGTTAAATTAAGAAAAATAGAATATGAAAAAGAAAAATAACGAGCAAATAACAATAATGAAAACAAAAATTTAGGTTCGAAATACAAAAATAAGAGATCATTCTTCTGGCGATCAATTATTCTTGAAAAACAGCTACAAATTGCTAGAGGTTTTTCACGTTAAGTACTTTTTTTATTAATATAATGAGACTAAAGAACACATGTCAGTTCTATATTTCAGTTCCAAGAGAGCTTAGCTGACAATTTTTTTTTCAATTAATTATGTGATCTACTCATATTTTTGCAATGAATCATCAGAGAATTCTACAATATACTCAAAATAACATGTCTATATCATAAAGGGAAATAAAAATATAAATTCTACGATAAAGGCATTAAAATTAGAAAGAATACGCCGTTTTATGAGTTTTATTTGCCCGATTTAAGTTAATAGTATATTGTAAAATGTAACGAATCATCATCTATTTAGAATAATTCATTATATCGACTGTCCTAGTTCTGAATAATTTTGATATAGTCACATTGCCATCCTTAAGAAATATTTCAATTTTGTACAATGTTATCGTAATGACGTAATCACTTATTTACTTGTTAAAATGTGTAGTTTTTCGCTTTTTTTCTCTTTATTTTTATTTGTTTGGATGGATGAACCATTTAATCATCCATTCTTTGTATGACAGAGTCATTTCTCTGTTTCATTCATGGTAATAGTAAACGATTCTTACTTCATACTCTTTTTATTTCTGTTCATGCATATAGATTGACATATTTTTTTTTGATAACTGATTGCATTTTTTTCGTGTGGTAAGTTAAGAGTTAATACAGTTGATAAATCGGCAATCCACATGAATGGTTAAATACGAGTCAGTTTTTAAATTTATAGTTCTTTGATCGAAATATTTTACCCTGATATAGGCAATGCAGATCAGAGATGAGCACAGGGCAAATTTTTCTGTCCTTCCCTGCCCTGTGTTGTCAGCTACCTCTGTTCTGGCCGACGGCAGGACAGAACGAAAATTAAAAGTTTGTCCTCTCCTGTTTTGTCGTACTGACTTTTCTGTTCTGGTGAGTGGCAGGACAAGATATCAAAAATGTTGTCTTGTTTTTCCCTAATGATTTATTCCGCTTTTGTAGATGACTGAAAAGTAAATATGGAAGTCCTTGCTTTTACTTTCAAAGACCAAAATACGTAAGATTGTATTACTTATCTTATCGCTAGTTTTTTTTATATACTTTTCAAACGCAATAAATACACTGTAAATAACCACTTATATTATAGATACCACAAACTATACGAAAATACTGACCTGTTACTGTGTCTCTTAAAATCCGACGGAGTTTTTCTTTGCAAAGAAAAGTAGCTGGTCACAAAAATGTAGATTATGAACCGTCAGTATGCTCATATTTGAGCTAAAAAGCGTTAACTCGTCGTTCTTCGCGAGTTATAGAATCTATCTTGAAAGGACTATTTGACTATATAGAAAAATAGAAAAAATGAATCTTAATCTAAAATTTGGTTATGAATAGATCTAATGATCATAAAAATTCACTGAAACTTTCAGTCGTATTGGATGCTTTCTCGTTCAGATATTTCATACAGAAAAAGTCTTCATATTTCATAAAAATGCTCAG